TGTTTTTTTGTGTGTCTCTGTGGTGGTTTAGTGTCTCTTTGTAGTTGTTTTGTGTCTCTTTTTTGTCTCTATGCAGTTGTTTGGTGTTGTTTTTTTTTGTATCTTTGTGGTGGATAGGTGTCTGGTTGTTTTGCACCTCTTTTTTGCAACTGTTTGTAGTTGTTGTGTGTCTCTTTGTAATTGTTTTGTGTCTTCTTGCAGTTGTTTTCAATCTCCTTGTGATCATTTTGTGTCTCTTTGTGTCTCTCTGTACTTGTTTCGTGTCTCTTTGTGGTTGTTTATTGACTCTTTGAATCTCTTGTATGTGCAAAAGTGACATTTGATTTGGCTTTGCTGCTAAAAACTGAATATGAGACTAACATAGGGTCTGACATGAGTATTTGTTCCACACTATTTCAATGCGCCTGCATTCATTGAGACAATGAACCATTAGAATGTTTTTTCAGGTCAATTAGTGGGTTAATGACAGTGTGACAGGTAGAACCTGCTGTCCAGGTGGTTCCTCATGCATGAGTTGCTCTCACATTAAAGGGCAGCAAATGTCATTTTAGCCATTAGCCACACGATATAACTGACAGAGAAGCAGCTCATCTGTATGAAGAGACAACATAAGAACAAACCACAGCTCAGAACATGGTTCTATTAGGTGCAGAAAATGTGGAAGGTTCTGCAGGAATAGAACCTGCTGAGAAAAGACTAAACCTTCAGTTCTGCCAGTGAGATGTGGATTTGACCCGTCATGGCCTCAAATGTTCGAGTTCAAGTGGTCCACTGGTCTTTAAGGGGTTCTTTTGATGTCTCAGAAGGTCCTTTATGAGATTCTGGTGCTCAGTGAGGAGGTTCATGTTGTCCTTTAGGAGGTTCTAGTGGTTAATTAGGAGGTTCTATATGTCACTAAGAAGGTTCTAGCAGTTCTTTAGAAGACTCTTGTTGTTGTTTAGGAAGGTCTGTTTCTCACTGAGAAGGTGCTCGCTGTGCTATAGGAGGTTCTTAGAGTCAATTACAAGGTTCTACTGGTCCTTTATGAGGTTGTTGTTGTTCTTTAGGGGGTTATGATGTTTACTGCGAAGGTTCTAGTGGTCTTTTAGGATGATATTGTTGCTTAGGAGGTATTGGTTGTAACTGAGAAGGCTCTAGTGGTCCTTTACGAGGCTTTCGTAGTCATTTAAGAGGTTCTGGTGGTCATTTAGAAGGTTCTGTTGGACTGTTAAGAGGTTCTTAGTTGTTAGGAGGTTCAAGCGCTCACTGAAAAGGACTTACTGTCATTTAGGTGGTTCTTGTATTTGTTTAGAAGGTCTAGTGGTCCTTTAGTAGATTGTTGCAGTCAAGGAGGTTCTTGGACTCACTACTTTAGTTCTGATGGTCCTTTAGAAGACTATCATAGTTTAGAAGATTGTAATGCTCACTAAATAAGTTCTAGCAGTCCTTTAGGAGGTTGTTGTAGCAGTTCTGGAGGTTCTAGTGATTTCTAAGAAGGTTCTAGCAGTCCTTGAGGAAGTTCTTGTGGTCATTTAGGAGTTTCCATTGGTCAATAAAAAGGTTCTTCTAGTCGATTAGAAGGTTTTAGTGGTCACTAAGAAGGTTCCAGGTGTTCTTCAGGAGATTCTTCTACTTGTTTAGGAGCATAACTGCCTGTAATCTTTTTGTAAATGTGAAGATTTGTGACATGACGTGTTTGTCCAAATTAAAGCAATAAATCTGGCCTGAATGGAACCACTGGAATAATTTACAAATGCAGCTTGTGTTAGGGCCAGCTGGTGGACCACACAGTGTCTGTGGAAGCAGCTTTGTTCTTTCTCTTGTTCTGTTTTAAATTGTGTTTTGGCATTTGCTTTTATTGATGTGAGAAGTGCTCGTAAAGGGAACAGCCAGGATTTATAAGGAGATCATCCTGCAGCTGCATCGATGGAAGATAACGCTGCTGTAAAGTGAAATGGCAGGGAAACATAAATGGGGGCAAAAGGACGGAGCTGCAGAAGCAATGAACCATATGCTGCTGCTGCAGACTCAAAGGGGACTGATAATATGATATGTGCAGAGATAAAACAGAACCACTGTATACACAGTCAATGCAAACTCTGTAAAACAACGGTAAAAACGTGGCAGCAAGAGTCCCAGGAAAAATATGTTAAAAAATTGTGAAATACTGTAACATTAAAAACTGTAAAAGCTGTAAAAACAATAACAGCAAATATCTGTAAAACAGCAATATTTTTGGCTTGTTTAAATACTGTAAAACGGTGTAATTTTAGAGCCATACAGATCTTTTTTTGTAGACATTTAGTTTTGATCTTTTCTTAAAAAAAATAGATTTACACATTTTTTTCTGAGTTTACAACGTTATCTGTAATTTAACAAAATATTACAAACCTGTAAAATTACTGACTTAAAAAAATCCTTAATGTACATAATGTTTCTTTCAAATAACAGCAAATGTCTGTGAAATATCTATATATGTGTCCAATTTAAATACAGTATTACATTATAATTTTAGAATCAGTTTTGTGAAAATATATATTTTGAATGTGGAAATTATTTAGAATGTGTAAATCAATACTTTTTTCTGTGATTTTACGAGATATTATCTACATTAAATTACCAAAACGTCTGTGAAATAACACTAAGCTACAGCTTCAAACTTTTAAAATGTTTTTCTTTTTTTTTTTAACAGTGTGAATCAGAAGATAACAGCGTGTTCAGGGGTTTAGCTGCCTCTGCTTATCTCTTGTTGTATTTAACCATTGTGAGAAAAAGCTCTGAATGCTTTATGGTAATACTGGTTATCACAATATGCAGACACACTGTATATTTTGATACTATAAATAGAAATACCCGAGATAGAGAACCGTCCGTGATAAAATTAGTACACTGTGATCACATATTTTATATCTTCTCTGATAAAACTTCACAGTGGTTAAACATTGTTTTGGGCTGTAAAGTGTGCTATGTTGGCAGATGGGACACGAGCCAAACTAAAAAAAGCCAAAGTGCACCTCTGAAATTCAGTTTGTTGCTTTTGGCTGTTGATAGGATTTTTTCTCCCTGAGTTTATTAAATAGCTGCAGCATCGGACAGCAGCAGGATCCAGGTGAGCTTCCTCCTAGTCCACAGGACGCTGTAAATACATCTGTAATGCAAGAAGGAAATCATTGATAAAGTGAATGAAGTCAAGTATCTAGGCATCATCTTGGACAAGACCTTAAAGTTTGATAGTCAGGTTAAGTACATCTGCAACAAGGATAGACCAAATCTTAACTGCTTTTGTTTTATTAGAAGGAAACTGACATATCAAGCTGCAAAACTGTACATGCATGCAATGATTTATTCTCATCTTTCTCATCGTATTGCTTCACATCATGGTCACAAGCTTCTTTAACCACTTTAAAACCTATAATCTCAATATACAAGCAGGCAATAAACCTCATGAACCAGAAACCAATGAGATGGCATCCCAGTCATTTTAAGAAA